AATAGTGATAATAATAGTACTAAATAAAACTGATGACAGTAGTAATAATATTAAGGATAATAATAGACATAATAATGACCATGAAAATAAGAATATGCAAATCGCAATTTTAACATCGTTAAATCTACGGTGTCCTCGTGGGGTAATTACATCATATAATGTCGCTACGCGGATACATCACAATATAGTTACACTGTACATTAATAGTATTTGACACGTTCTCTTGCATCGGGCCGTTCTGATCGATGAATACCGCCGACACAATTGTACAAATCCATTGTATATACATAAAATAAATTATTATATCAACATTAAGCTATCGTATCTGCCGCCGGCCGCGGTATTTGAACCCGAACCGGCCCGAAACACGGGCGCAGATGCATCGAGGATACTGGCTCTCTTTATAAAATTATATTAGGTACCTTGTATAGAATTGCACTGATTACAATATATAAATAACAAAAAGAAACGGTGAAAAAGGAGAGACGTAAAAGTTTCCGTGTTTTTCACGTCGAGCCAACTTCCGCCGCGACCCGGAACCGGATGGCCGTGCTCTCATACTCTCTGCCTCTCACTCGTCCTCTCTTTTTTTCTTTTCTTTCTCTCCCTCACTCACGCTCTCTTCCTCTCTCTCTCTCTCCGTACTCAAGCAGCCACCGGTCCGCGAAAACGCTATTTGGCACATAAATATTATCACATCGAGCTCCCCAATCTTTGCCGTCCGATTTCCGATACACGTTCTCTCGAACCACGAGACATTTACACGCCCTAGCTACAAAGTCGTTATTGCGATATCGGTGCTCGCCCCCCTTGTCACCCTAGCACCGAGCCAATACAGTGAACATGTTCGCAGGATAAGTTTCCATCGACTTAACCTTTCCATCATCCGCAGGCGCTCTACTGCGAAACGCAACTCGACAAAAAATGGGATAAAACGTAACAGTGCTCCGGATACCCGAAAAACAAAACACAACGTCTCATTAGAATTTGATCGTTCCCGTTTCACACGCATCGTTTTCAATAAATAACGCTAATTCCCTTCTCCCCGTAATTTTCCACCCTTCTTACAGCAACATTGTACTAAAAAATTGACGTCGCGCGTGCCCCCATCCATTCCCGTTCCCCGAATCATTCTCGCTCGTGTATCCCACCACCACGGCTCTCCATTGTTTCTGGTTATCTTTTGAAAAATTCTCTTCTTCGTGTTCCAACAATCGCGTTCCCGTTCGATCGTCCGCTCTGTCGCGGCTCCGCTGTCGTGGCGAATTCTATTGGTCGCTCCGTATCGTTTCCTCCGGCCAGCATTCGCGTCAGACGCTTCCGGTTTCTATGAAGACGGATCGGACAGGGGGTTCAAGACGATCTCGAGCGACCAACCGACTTCGCGAACCGCTCGTTGCGATTACGGTGAATAAATTAACGACGAAAATACTATAAGTACTATCAAGTGATCTCAGATCGAACGAAGCGGCCAACATGGCGGTCAGGAGAATCGCGTGACAGAGTTACCACCCGTTTCCTCTCGCTGTTTGTGCCCTCTGTTTTTCCCCCTGCCCCCTATATCCCGGTCCTCGTGCTAATAACCGGTTAATAAGTGATTGCGTGATAATACGGAAAAAAGGACCGCTGGATTTAGAACGATGTGAAACGCGTGTCCCGCGTGTACGAGCCGGGATACGCGCGCCACGCTTGGTGAAGATGCGATATAGAACGGATCAGCTTCTTTTCTTCTCTTCGCTTCTCGATCCCCCGACACGGCCGAGCGGAGGTACCGTGTCGCTGGACACACGCACACACACACACTAGAAGGAATAGGAACAAGACTTTTTGGCCGCGCACCGTACCTCGCACATACATGTATATATGTAAACATATACGTGTCACGATCGTCTCGCGATGTATCAAACGCGGCGTCGAGACGCGATGTCAGGGCCGAGTCCGATCGGTGACTGCGTCGAATCCATTCGCCTGCTCACACGTGACACACATGGCAGTCTTACGAAAAATCAGGTATGTGTATATATATACATATATATACATAACTGTATGTATATATATACATATATATATATATATTTCGTTTTTATTTATTTATTTATTCATTTATTTATGTATAATCCTATGCTCGCGCTTCCATTCGAACACCCGAGAGGTGTGCGCGGTTGTCGCCGACATTTCACCCCGAGCCCGAGTACTCGTGCGTGCATCCCGGCGCATCTAGAAAAGTACCTATCAGACCGTATCATCGGTTCGCGGACTCCGTCGCTTCACTCGCGGCTTTTGATTACACAGAACAGAGAATGCACCGCGCGCGTCGCCACGTTGGACACGGTCCGCTTCGTCTCGACCGGTCGCTCGTGTCCCTTATCAACCTTCCCGCCGGCGAAGTCATCATCGAGCCTCGCCTATCGAATCCCACGTTCCCCGGGCGTTCCTCGAAGCTTCAATCGGTATCGTCCCAAGAAGCCCTCGTGCACCTCGATCATCCGAGGACACGTCCGGAACGTCGATACGTGTACCGGATTGAGCGACCGCAAGAAGACGGACGACAACGACGGCGGGTCCAGGAAACGGCGCTGGCCGCTCCAATTCCGCGGGAGAGGGTCCGCGTGTCGTACGTACGATGGCACAGAAATAAATCGTTATATCACAACCTCACGAGCGAGGCTTCGGAACGCTCGGTGTCACTCTTCGAGAACGTTCCTCCTTCGACGACTTTCACGTTCGCGTGGGCGGTCGTATCGCGTCTACTCCGGCACAGTGTACCTGGTCCGTCCATCGGGTCTCAACCCGTGGACCGAGAACTGTCTTCGGGGACGCGTGCAGTTACCAGAACAACTCGTGGCCGAGTCTGGACGTTGAAGCTGCTGTGGACGATGAAGCTCCGGGCGGCCATGGCGGCTGACCCGGAGCCGCGGTTCAATCTTCGTCGTGGTGCCGCGGACTGGCGTCGTAGCCGCCGATGGATCCGGAATTCTCCGGCGAGAAGTTCATCATGTCGGACGGCGACAGGCTGTCCTGCGGGTAGTAGAACGACGGATGATCGGAGCTGGGACCGGCCGCGCCGCCGTTCAGCATCGTCGCGGGCGGCGACACCGACGGCCTCCCCGATGGACCGGCACCCGATCCCGGGTGGTGTTGCGAGCTCATGTCCGAGCCGACCGGCGAGAGGAATCCCATCTCTGCCCCGCTGTCGCGACACCAGAGCTGCCTCATTTCCTGCCGTCGTTGCCGCATCAGCGACTTGTACTCGGAGATCCGCATCTTCTTGCCGTCCACGATGCAGGTGCGCTTCGGCCGCGGCCGGTACCTGTAGTCCGGGTGCTTCTCCATATGCAGCTTCGACAATCGGGACTGCTCCTCGTAGTATGGCTGTTTCTCGGAATTGGACATCGCTTTCCACCGAGCACCTGAAAGCCGGAGAATAGTTCATAGAATTTGAACGTGGGAATCGCGATCGTTGCGATTATCTTCTTTCGGGGTAGAGCGCAATTGACTCGATGAATGCGTTAACCTCTTGCGCTACCATTTAGGGCTACGTGCGGGTTATTATCGTAGTTGTTGATATTTCAATGGCGACGTTTAGGTTTAATCCGAAATTATGATCACGAGACTGTGCAGAGTACAGGGTTAATAGGTGGATTGCAAGGTAGATGCTTACCGAGTATTTTGGATATGTTCGAATTGTGCATATCCGGGCACGCCTTCAATATTTTCCTACGCTCGTCCTTGGCCCACACCATGAACGCGTTCATAGGCCGCTTGATATGTGGCTTGTTCTCGCTCTCCCTTTTCTGCTGTCTCACCATTTTCGCTAAACACACGGAGAGAGGAAACATTAGCCCACCGAGGGAGGAGACCGCGACGCTCCCCCGTGAGAAGCGAATCCGATTTCCGCGAGCATCGGCCGGCGCTCGGGGGAACAAAAGCGTAACGTCAGCCCGACGGTGGGGGACGCCGCGCTGGAAGACGTGCTTACCTTTTTCCGTTATGTCTTCCGGTACCTTGTAACCCGGCTCCCGCCACACTGTAATTTCAGAATATCATGGTTCGTTAGAAATTGTCGCGCAGCGGACGGCCCGGCGTGTCCGTGCCGGCCGAACGGGGGTGGGGGCGGAAGAAAGAATCGGCCAGAAGAAATTATCGGGGAACGATCGGAACGCGGCGCGTATTAAATGGAAGTTCGCTCGTTAAGAATTTATATAGAGAACTGGTTGCGGCGGATGGGTGAAGAAACGCGACCCGTTCGGGTTTACAGTTAACTCGGAGGCGACTCGAACGACCAACCACCGATCAGGGACAATAAGAGAAGAGAAAGAGACGCCGTAGAGTGTGCGTGTGAGAGAGAGATAGCGTGACACACGGGGAACAGAGAAGGAGATAATAATGTATTTACTGTGAGGCGTCGAGAGATAGTCTTGCTCCTCCTGCGATGCCTCCTCCCGGGAACCAGAATGCTTGATCGGTCGTTGAGTTTGAGGTGACGGCGGCATCGCACCTGCGCTCGGTGGCAGACCATAAATCCCGTGCATCGCGAAATGCTTCTCGACGGCAGCGACCGCTGCGGCCGCCACAGAACCACCCGGTCCAACGGCCTCGTCTTTGGCCATCACCTTGCCCACTGTAACACGATTCGTCGAGATAACTCGTGACGATGAAATAGGAATGCATCTGGCGAACGGAGGCTGCACACTCTCTCGCGAGGCAACGGCGTCGCCGCGTAACCACGGACATGGGCCGATGATCACGCGTCTCGCGTCCGCCGCCTCGGATATTACAATGACAGCCGCCGGAGGATTCCGCGGGCTTGTTTTTTCGACGATCCGCGGACACCGGTCCTTATCTCGGAATCGCGTTACGCGTCGTTGATTGTGCTCTTATAACTAGACAGGCAAAAAGCCGGACACG